CAGTAGGACAAATCGACAAACAAGTTTGTCTTGCTGTTGGAGACCTCTCGTATCACCCCCACCTGGGTCCCTGTGGCTGACTGTACCTCTGTCTGGCTTCCTAGCTTTTAATCCCCTTTCTCCTGCTCTTCTGGCCTGCTGCTTTGGGCATCCCTGAGTTGTCCCTGGGGCTGGGTTCTAGCGTCACTAGAAAACAAAAAATTTGGTTCCCAGAAGTCAGAGATGCTCTGTAACAAATACCTAAATAGTGGAAGTTGTTTTGAAATTGCACAATGGGTAGAGGCTGGGAGAATTTTAAGATGTTTAAGAGGAAAAGTATAGATTGCTTTGAAGAGACTGTTGATAGAACTATGGAATCAAAGGCCATTATTGTGAGAACTCAGAAGAAAGTGAGGAAAGCACAGAGAAAGTTACTATTGTCTTACAGTACACATATAGCTTCAGCAACAGAATGTTGCTAGACATGTGGACAATAAATGTGCTTCTGGTGAGGCTTTAAAAGGAAATAATGAATATGTGATTGGACAGTGGAGGAAATGTAAAACTGTTTTTCCTTTATTATTGTGATTTGGGTGAAAGTTTACAGAGTAAATTGGTTTTCCATTCAACAATCCATACACATTCTGTTTTGTGATATTTACTCCAGTCTCACACTGTCACAGCATTCTTCCCATTGCCTCCCTGGGCCCATCCCTTCCTTTTGTTCTTCCTTCCTATCTCTTCTTCTCTTCCTAGATCTAACTTGGACAAATGCTGTCCTCTTGATCTCATATGTTTAATTGCATACCCTCCTGATGTTACTGTTCCCTGTATAGCCCTGTCTATTGTTCACCTGCCAGTTGAGTCTCAGGAGTTAGATTCAGTTCCTAGCTTGAAGGCTGCCAAATAGTCACAGTCTTGGGGGTTCCACTTGTCTTTATCAGACCAAAAAGCTTGGTCTTTTTTATGATTTTTGACTTGTGCTTCTCATTTTCTCCCACTCTGTCCAGGATCACTTATTGTGATCCATTTCAAAGTGGTCATCAATGGTATCTGGACACCACCTAGTTCTCCTAGTCTCAGGATGTGGAGGCTGGGTTTCACCTCTTGTAACATAAAAGGTGATTCAGCCCACACCCCAGGGAAGCTCTCTTTACATTGAATCAGCACAGTGACCTGAATAACAGTGTTGCAACTCACCCTAATTCCCTTACAACTGATTGGGTTATCACATCAGATCACATTATGGACGATAATTATATCACCTAACTGCAAAATCACATCATTACATAACTGTCAAACCACTGGGAATAATGGCCTAGCCAATTTGACACCATTCTGAGAGAACACAATTCAATCTATGGCACTATGTTTGAATTTGCTTTATTTTAAAAATAATTTCTACTTCTTTTTGTGATATCTTCTTTGACTTATTGTTACCTCAACATTAAATACTTAGGGATTTTCCAAATACCATTCTCTTTATGTTGTTAACTTAGTTTGTCATCATATATGATTTCATCATGATCTATCTTTGAGATTATTTCATATACACGTGTGATAATTTGCATTTTGCTATTGTTGGATGGAGTAGTCTAAAAAAGTGAATAAGATCAACTTGTTTGATAGAGATTTTTCAAGTTTTCTGTATTCTCACTGAATTTTTGCATGTTTTTTCAGGTAATGATGTTTGAAATCTCCAGCATTACTGTGAAATCTCCTTTCAGTTTGGTTTATGTCTTGTGTATTTTGAAGCATTTACATTATACCTATATGTGCATTTAGTGTAATTATGTCTTCTTCATAAATTGATCCCCCTTGTATTATAAAATGCTCCACTTTATTGCTTGTAACATATTTTTGTTCATTTTATTTGTCTGATATTAATATGGCTATTTTAGAATGCTTGTCAATAGCATTTGCATTGTATCCAAATACTTTTTTTTTTTTTTGTTTAGCCTCTTTTAAATTTTATATAAAGTAGATTTCTTGTAAACAGCATATGGTTAGGTATTTTTTTTCCCCCAATGTTATAATGTCTGCCTTTTAATTACATCATTTAAACCACCTGCTATCTTGTTTTTATGTTTTCTGTTTTTGCCACCTATCCATTGTTCTTTTTTCCCTTTTTATTTCTGCCTTCTTTTAGATTAAATGAGTATTATTACTATCAGAGAAGTATTGCTGGAAAATATGACAGAATGGAAAACTGTCTGACTGCATCCTCAGACAAAAAGGAAGATGGCACTCTTAATTTTTACTAAAATACACAGTAACTGTTTAATTAGGCCTGTGCTATACTTTTTCTTCCTTTAAATTTTTTTGCATTTATATATCTTAAGATTGTACAATTAAAATACACTTAACTATTTAATAAATAAATAAAAGCAAATAAATGGCTGGATCAGAGGACAGAAAGGAGCATCTTAAGATGTGTATTTTCCTCAATCATAATCTTTGTTTAATTAATAAACTACTAATGATTAGTATTTGAACTTCTAACTAATCCTATTGTTTTGTTAAATAATCAGTCGCATTTATATAAAACAGAAATAGGTCATGCAGAAAAGCTACATCTTTACAAATAAATATCCTTTCTTTTCATGTTTTATTTTGACATAATGACACATGTGAACAACTATTTAATAAATTATTATCTTTCTTTTATTTCCCTCTTGTATTATTTTGTCCCAAATTGAGTATCAAAAAAGTTTATTACTGTATATGAGTGGTTGGAAACAGTATATGGACTGAAGAACTTGTATCCATGATGACTACCGTCAATTCCTCCCTTCCCCATATTCACATGTCACTCTCCCATGTGAGATGCAGTCTTTTTTGCACATTTTCACCACTCCCAACCTCTAATACTACTTGATTGGCCTGACCTCACTCTCTACTTAATAAATAGAACATGGAAAAACATATGTGCAAGTACTTTTGAAGGTAGGTCAGAAGAATTCTTTCACTTTCTGTCTTAGTGTTCTGGAATGCCAATACTTGGAACACTCCAGAAAAAGAATTCCAAGCTGTAGATTCTAAATTCTCAGTAAATAGACTCTACTTAGTCTAGCCTTGCAGTCTTCAGCTAAGGCACCAGACATGTTAGTGAAAAAAACCTCAGACCTTCCAGAAAAGCTAAACCACCAGCTGGATGCCACAAAGTGAACTTCTGTGGACATTGTGGCAGAAGAAAATCACCCAGCAAAGGTTTGCCTCAAATACTCATGCACACATTCATGAGAAATAATAAAAATTTTGTTTTCAGCCACTAAATTCAAGTGACTTGTTAAATAACAATAGATTACCTGAAAAGATGTATCCAGTAAAATGTGGCTGCAGGCAAATGTCTTTTGTTTACTCATCTTGAGATAGAAGAGTCTCCACTTCTGCTAAAATCTGATATATTTCAAGAAAGGACACTTCTCTAGGATCTCTGAGGGAAACAAATTATATTGTACTTGATTATGAGAAAAAAAAGAATGACAAGAACTTTGTTAAAAAAATTCTTGGGACTGATAAAAATCTTAGAGTGTGGAAACTTCTCCTTGCTCTCTAAGAAGACAAGGAAACAAACAAACAAACAAACAAAGAAAAACAGGAAACTTCTAAGTTAATGTTGGTTCAACGAAGAGGATCATTTCCTCACTTAATTGTTGGCCAAGAATCTCCCTAATACTCTTTCCACCAAAATTTATAGTAGATATCTTATTCAATTGTTCTACTAGCCTTTGAGTTATTCTTTGACTCAAATAATATATCTCCAAGGTCTCACTTAGATACAGATAATGAAAATGTGATACTTGAATATGTACTTGGCAGTTCCAGATCATGTGGGCCCTTGGCTTAATTTCCTCACTTCCTTCTGTTGTGGTAAGTATGTGAGTTATAAATAGATATTCTGCTGGAGGAACTCACTTGGTTATGCCAACAGATTTGGAAGGCAGCTACATGGCCAACTGACTGGAAGAGATCCAGTACCCCTTCCAAAAAAAAGTGATCCCACAGGATGTGGAAAATATCAAATGATATTGCATGCAAGTAAAATCTTACTGAAGATAATTCAAAATGGTTGCAGTAGTATATGGACAGAGAGGTTCCAGAAATGCAAGCTGGATTCAGAAAAAAACGTGAAATGAGGGATATCATTCCTGATGTCAGATGTATCTTGACTCAAAGCAAAGAATACCAGAAAGATGTTTACTTGTGTTTTATTGACTGTGCAAAAGCACCTGATTGTGTGGATCATAAAAAAATGATGGATAACATTGAGAAGAATGGGAATTGCAGAACTCTTTGATTGTACTCATGAGAAACCTGTACATAGATCAGGAGGTTGTCGTTCAAACAGAACAAGAGGATACTGCATGGTTCAAAATCAAGAAGAGAGTGCATCAAGGTTGTATCCTTTCCCCATGCTTATTCAACTTGTATGCTGAGCAAATAATTTGAGAAGCTGGGTTATATGAAGATGAAAGTGTCATCAGGATTGGAGGAAAACTCACTAACAACTTGCTATATACAGATGATGCAACATTGCTTGTTGAAAGTGAGGATGACTTGAGGCACTTACTGATGAAGATTGAAAACTACATTCTGCAGTATGGATTACACATCAATATAAAGAAAACAAGAATCCTCAAAACTGGCCCAATAAACAGCTTCATGATAAATGTAAAAACGATTGAAGTTGCCAAAGACTTTTTATTACTTGGTTCCACAATCAACACCAGTGGAAGCAGCAATCAAGACATCAGAAGACATATTGCAATAGGCATATCTGCTGCAAAAGACCTCTTTCAAATGATGAAGAGCAAAGATGTCTCCTTGAAGACTAAGGTATGCCTAACCCAAGCCATGGTATATTCAATCACCTTTTATGCATGTGAGAGTTGGACAAGGAGTAAGGAAGACTGAAGAGGAGTTGATACTTTTCAGTTGTGGTGTTGGAGAAGAATGCTAAAAGGGCCATGGTCTACTAAAAGGACTAACAAATTTGTAACTGAAGAAGTGCAGACAGGATGCTCCTTGGAAGCAAGAATGTCCAGACTTCTTCTCATCTACTTTGATCATTTTGTCAGAAGGAACCATTCCCTGCAGAAGGATATCATGCTTGGTAAAGCGGAGGGTCAACGAAGAAGGGGAAGGCTGTCAATGACATGGACTGACACAGTGGCTGCAATGATGGGCTCAGGTATAGCAAGGATCATGAGGCTGGCACAGGACTGGGCAGTGTTTCTTTCTGCTGTGCATAGGGTTGGTATGAGTTGGAGACAACTCAATGGCCTCTAACAACAACAACAACAAAATCATGTGACAATATTACAGATAAATATCAACAGGTAGCTTTTTCTAAAGTGCCAAAATAAAAAAGTCTCCTAGTTTTTCCCCTGGTTTCAGAAGCTGACCTCTCTTTGGACTCTGCAATACATAAAATCATGTTTTCCTCTCAATTGCTGTGCAAAGCACAAATTTCCTGATGTCCTCAAATCTATAACTTAATAAATATTTTATAGTTACATATCAGCTCTACTTACTGCTTAATGTTGGACACATCCCTAAATTGAGTCAAAGGCATGATTTACCAGAAATTTAAAAATAATTTATAATAACTGAATGTCTTAAACATATGAAGAAAGATATATATGATTTTCGCCAAAGAGACAGAGCTGGGCCATTGTGCTGTCAATCAGTGTATTCTCATGCCTTCTTATGTCTTTCATTTTAGGCAGAGGAGAAAGAGCTAATATTGTTAGTATGATCTTAAAGACAGTCTCCATTTGGTATAAAACACATGCAAGTAACCCTAGCAGTAACTCTGGAGTTAGGGGATGTAGGTTTGAGATTTCAGCTCTGCTTTTTTTCTAGCATCTCACCTTTGTTGACTTGCTTTTGATTTCTTTTTACCTCACTTTGTTCTTCTGTAACCTAGAGCGGAAGGAAGGTTGGGCAATCCTACTTCCGTAGTGATACTGCCTCGGAAACCCAAGGAGGGGTCGCTATGAGTCTATGAGTCGGGTTTGACTCGATGGCACATAACAACAACAACAACAACCTAGAGCTACCCATAGATTCAACACATACTGGTCATACATGATGATTACATATAAAGCAGTAGAATAATGGTTGGCAATCAGTGTTCACAATTTTAATTATATTTCAACACTGCCCAATATATATATTTTTATTCAATGACTGGTAAATGGGTTATGGATACCAGGCAATCATTTATAAACTCTCCTTTGTACTAAAATGTCCCCATCTTAAGAGAAAAAATGGTGTTAAGCAATAAAACAAAATGGATAATGTGAAAGATGAGTTCAAAATTGTTCAGTGAATCAATGGAAGAAAATAATAATTGTTGCATTGTTTTAACACTCTATTTTCCTAACTTTGTTTTCTCATATATTTTCCCTTTGTGGTCAGAATTTTCCTTTGGAAATTTGATCTTTCTAGATTGTCGGAAACAAAACTGATTCATTGCCACATAATAATCAGAGAATAAACCTGCATTTCTTGAGTATTTTTGTCTGGAATACACAGTGATCTATGAAAGTTTTCATCTACCATTAAGTTTACTTCATTGAAGTAAAATGCCACTTCAATAGAAACAATCTCAAAAAAGATTTTCAGAAAGAATATATTGGGCAGATAGACATGTGGTAAATATTTTTTCCAAGAATGAAAAAAAACAAATAAGCAAAACAAAAACTTTTAAAAACATATAAATAAACCCTACATCTATAGAAAAATATCCCAAATGATGATCTATGATTATGGAGGTGGTCTGAAGTACTCAATTTAATCCAACAACTGACATGTGTGACTGTAGATTGTGTTGTATGTAGCTGTGGTCTATGTAAATCAATAAAAATTGCCATTGAAATTTCTCTGCATCATTAAGGGGCTATGGCAAAGAAACAAATCTCTTTTCCTGGAGTTCCACATGGATATCTGGGAGGAGATGAGAAGCAGATATAGCGACACTGAAAAAAGAATCTAGAGTAAGGAAGCTGGGAGTTTTTAAGTGCAGCAATAGACCATCCACTGATTTATTAATTTCTAGGTTATAGAAAAATTAATTCTGTGAAGTGTTATGATACAGAGATGAAAAATTCCAGAAATATGAAAAGAGGAAAATACCTTTTCCTTCACCTTTTCCCTCTCAGTCTCTTTTCAATCCCCTGGAATTGGTCTATATACAATTATTCTATGATAATGGTCACAGCCCTTTGTTTACATTCCTCAGTTTATTATCAGTATT